TCGAATTTCCCCAGGAGGCCAACTTACCCTGATACTGGTGTCTCCGAATGGTGGGGGATATTTCTTCAGACAGAATACGGTCCATGCCGAACTTCAGCTGCCGCGAACCAGGAGAGGATGAAGGCGCACTTTCATTGTTACGACCATCAGCGGAAGAAACTCTTCTTCCGGAAGGTGAAGTCTCTCGACATAATTTCGTGTCGATTAAATGAACACGATGATGACTTCCAGGGGAATCTTCCGAAGGACTGATACACCTCATCGGTCCTTCTGGATAGGTAGGACTTGTGTCACGTCTGGGACTGGAAGACGAAGGTATTCTGGCAGAGCTGCTGCTACTGCTGCTACTTCCACGTCTTCCTGTGGTTATAACAGGGACACAAGATGGCATTGGGCTCCTACTACGCCGGGTGTCCGGACTTCGACACGCAGGAGGAGCTCTTCGTATGGTCGGTACTACAATAGGGTAAGAAGGATACACCGTAGGAGGTCCTTTTCGAATTATGTCAGGAACTGGACTCTTATTCCGAGATACGACTAAAGTCGGGCTTGACTTTTCGCGAACACTACTGGACGAACACGGACTGGCACTTCTAATTCGAATACCAGAAGATGGCTCCACGGACGGAGTAGTACTTTCAGGATCAGGGCTTCTGCTCATGATTAAAATGTGACAACAGCGAAGAAAGGTATTTTTTGAACAGGCCTCAGAAACGCGGACTTCAGGGTTTGTGGATTCTGTCGCAGATCTCTTTTCAGCAGTTTTGTTAAAGCAGAGAATTAACTATGTCATATAGGTCAGATGTAACTGACTTGAAGTATATACGAGTATAATTACACCTAATAACAGAATGTAAATTTTATAAACTGATAATTCCATTAGAGTCAGAAAAAGTAATAAGAATAAGTACAGGACCTACTTGTAAAATATTGGTTAAATTTAACATTCACAAAATTCAGACAGTAGTGATAGGGGTTCAGTAATATTCTAGCACTTCAAATG